GGCCAGGGCTGGGTTTGAACCCGCCACCTCCGGCATATGGGGCCGGCACCCTACCCTGTTGAGCCAGAGGCGCTGCCCTACTTTCTCTATCTTGTTACAAAATAGAATTGCAGTTTCCTTGACTCTTAATGTGATAGATTTAAGCAATGTTGTCCTTTTTGGTGCATGTATTGAAGGAGTTGTTCTCAGAGATAAGTGAGTAGTTAATTTTTTTACAATAATTATGTGTCTATCTTCCATGACATCTGGTTATCCCACATATTTCCAAGACAGTTGTAAAGTGAGGTATCCAGCCCTGAGGTATCTCAGTCATGACTAAAAATAAGAAAAAAATCTATATATGTACATATGTGTGTACATACATATATGTATGTACATATATAGATTTCTTATTTTTAGTCATGGTATAAAAATTGTATACATATATACATACACACACACATATATATATAGAGAGAGAGAGACAGAGAGAGACAGAGTGTTCCCAAAAAGTTAATGAATAATGAGGGCCAGTAGATTGTTAAAAATACATATGTGAGATGCTGACAATATAGCTCTTCCAAAAGGCAGTGAATTTGGACTTCCCTATCCATTTAGAACATTGGGAAACTATACCAGAAGTAAAGGAGGGTAAATTAAAAAAATTACTTTTAAGTGTCTCTGTTATCTCCTCTATAAGTGTCTAACTAATTTTGTTTGTCATTCTGAATGAAAGCCTGAAACTTACTTTCTTCATTTTTTTTTTATGAAGGCTGCTGTGTTTATTTTCCCTTTCCTCTCACCTATGAGTATAAAATAAGTTTTTGCAAGAGATTCTTAGACGAGCCTGCTACTTTTCACATTTCTCCCTGCATAGCTTCACATGCAGTCCTGTCTCAAAACAGAAACCTAGGTGTCATCCTAGACTTTCCCATTAATTCCCTCATGCAGTAATAGATCCATTCTTTCCCCTGTTCTTTTTCAGGCCTTCAGGATTTTTTGCCTACGTTGTTAAAATAATTTTCCTTTCAATGCCTTCAAATCCTTCTTCCACAATGCCACTAGAATGATTTTTCTAAAACAAAGAATATTATTATGGAAACTTCCCTCCTTCAGAGCCTGCCAAAGGCCCTTAAAACTGATCACTGATCACTCTCTCTGTATCTTTCTTCTCTTATCTCCCATTCCTCATAACGCCCAATACTCCAGCCATAACCATAACTAGAGGTACATTATGTCTTATTTCAGAACTCCATTGATCGACACATTTGTCTGTGTGGTTTTTTGTTTTTGTTTTTGTTTTTGTTTTTTGAGACAGAGTCTTACTTTATTGCTCTTGAGTAACTGAGACTACAGGTATCTGGCTATTTTTTTTTTTAAGAGATGAGGTCTTACTCTGGCTCAGGCTGGTCTTGAACCAGTGAGCTCAGGCAATCCAACCACCTTGGCATCCCAGAATCCTAGGATTACAGGCATGACCACCACACCCAGCCTCATTTATCTGTGTGGTTTTCTTTGGTTAGAACAGGTTAATCCCACCAAGCCAACTGATACTTGTCCTCAAAGACATACTATGTGTCTTCTTTCCTATAAAGCTTTCCCATATTAAAATGAAGATAACCATTTCTCCTTTTATTCAGCCACTATATTTGAACATTCTGTATTAATGCACTTATACTATTTTGTAGCCACTCATTTTCCTGTCACTTTCCCTGACAGATTGAGCTCTAAGCAGCACAGGATACATATATGTATATGTAGGACACAGCATATGTCTGTGTGTGTGTGCTTGCATATGTACATACATGGTGTCATATATTACTATGCTATTATAATGGGGGATTTATGGAGGCTTATTAAATTATACTATTATATAAAAATTATTGAAAGTAAATTAGAATGCCATTTTGGAAACCTAAAGTTGAACATGCCCAAACCTATGACTTAGCAATTCTACTTATAGGTATCTCCAACAGAAATGCATTCACATGTGCATCAAGAATCATGCACAAAGTTGTGTGTACCTCAGCTGGGAAGGACACATTGAGGTTGGCAACCCATCAAGGACAGTAACTACCATGGCTTCCAGTGCTTT